ACGATAGTAAGTGTGTAGGAGTTTGGAGTATATCGGTCTCGGTATGAAATAAAATCGTTAGGAAAGGCGACTGATATTCTTCTTTGTCGCTGTTTGAGAGCAATTATTTCTAAAAGAGTTGTGAGGTACGAAGTTTTTAATCAAATACTGTTTCTGATGGGAGATAGGCTGCTACAATGTTTATTGAAGCATTTGTAGCCTCAGATATTATCACAGAATATATTACAATAACAATGGAATAGAACTAGAACTAAACTAGTTTATTTAAGATAATATATATTTAAAGCAATCTGTTTAAAATCTACGTACAATAAAAAGTGTCTAATTTTGCTTACGATTCACAGAGAATAAAAATTATCCTGTATGAATTTCGATTCCAGACATTTAGATGGATGAATATAGTAATAGAAATCTTAAAGTCTCCCTTGACAACCAAGCCAAGTGCTCCTACACAAATATACCTTCGTTCAAATTTTCAGTCGTCAGTTTCGTCCGTATCTCATCCGAGACATATGACGAAATCTGTTGAACTCGTTGCTTGCATTGTGCAACAAGGTGAACGAACGTGACTTTGACAAACGGGATTGAAGCATCCAACGTATTAAATGGAAACTAACGACGTGTAACATTCGTATAACCAGCAAAAATGTTTCATTTATCTACGCGAGACGAGAAATATTTAGCACATCGCGCGTTCCCACAAAAGAATCACGAAATTCAAACGAATCGCCGCAGTTTTTTTTTTAATCGATGCTCCTCGAATGCCTGAAAAACTTATGCCAGGAGTATGAGAACATTCGTATCTCGAATTTCGATTTTACTCTTTCGCCAGGAGAGAGAATAAACCTATAAAAACATTGCTAAATAGGGACAATTCTTTCTAGAACGTTTTTTCAACGTGTATTTCTCGATGCTGCTGTATTTCTTAACGAAGTTTATTGATTATTCACGGTATGAAAATTAAATTGAACCTGAGGTCTTTCCGTTCTCATGAGCAACTATGTTCTCATACGATATTATTAGATTTTCTGCGTTTATGGCGTATGCTAATATGGAAAATATATGCAAAACGCACGAAGAATATATTTCATAAATTATAACCGTACCGGTGTTTCATTTTACACGAGTACATGTGTTCTTAGTATGCTTAGCAGATGTTTTTATACTTGCCTGAGCTATAAATGCATGCAATCCGTATCTCAGTTAATAATAATAATAATAATATTTCGCAACCGCTGTCCCGTTGGAATAATGTTTTATTAATATTTGTTACTGTTTCTATAAACACAACGAGAATCTGGTTCACTCTCACTTATTCATGAAAATCTTTCTGTCGAAGGGCTAAGAAGAAAGAAAAGAACAAAGAAAATCAACTTCCTGTCCCATGTAATTACAATATTATTCTTTAAACTTTTTTCTAGGCGATTCAACAGGTTTCCGCGACCATTCCTATAGACCGTCTTTTGGGTGATTCTGGAATATCGGATCTAGGGAGAATGATATCAAGAATATTTACGCCCTCACAGTCAACATCAACATCGGGTGGTTTCATGGGCCCAATAGGGAAATCTTTCCTGCCAGGAGGTTGCGACGCTGGTGGAATGTCTTCGTTCCTAGGACTGGGGAATCCCAATTCGAAAAAGGAAGAATCCACAACAAAGAGTCAGGGTGGCGAAGAAAAAGGTAGCATTCTCCCAGCCCTCAAATCTGCATTCGGTGAGCCATTCGTAGTTCCGAAATACCACGCACAGGATAACAAATTTTCGCTAAATATTTTCATGTTGTAAATATTGTACGCACGAATTGTGTCAGCAAAGTTAGAGTTTGATCAAATTTTTATCAGTATTCGAGTTAGAATAAAGAATACGAAGAATTGTTTCTAATCAACCATGGAATTTCCATCATTGCTTACGATCCTTTCCTGTTTGTTTAGGGCAATAGTAACACCTGGATGTACAAGAATCTTCAGTTTCGGAGTCGATCAAGTCTTAAAAAGTATCGTTTATGTCTCTACGTGTAAAGCAATAGAGTTTTACGAGGTTAGGTTCTATTCTTCGTCTCTTTGACACATATGTACTTTAGTTATACTTTCCTTTTATATTATAGTTATATGTACTCATTCACGTATCCGTAATAAAGAAATTAAATAATCGAATTGATACATTTTTGTTTTGAAGTTATAATCTTCGAATTAATGTAAGGTACAGATTGAATATAGTGACTGTATTCGTTTCGTCAATTTTCATTAGACGAACTCGTAAGTTCATGTTTCCTACAAACCATGAAGATTCCTGAAGAAATTAATTCCTGGTTAAAATAATTATTTTGAGGTTCTATGTACAATATGAAGTCAATCCGACGCTGAATCTAAAGGAAATACAAAAATGAAGCGGAAAGAGAAAAGATTTTTCTAAACACTGACTGCAGAGATTTATTTTCTCAAAATATCTTTTACGGACCTGAAGAGAACCTGAAACCTGAAGTTAAAAATAGTTCCACGTGTGGAATAACTATTCAACTCGATAAATATCCACATTTAACTTCATTTCTCACATACCATATGGGCGAGAATTCGTCCATTCCTAATTCAGTGTTATCGCGATAGGTTTTAATCGTTTAACGTTTTCTGGTCGCATCCGACGAAAGTAAATCTCGTTTTTGGCCGAGAGTCGCGCCACTCCGCGGGAAGGAAACCCGCGCGAGAGCGTTTCCAAGGATTACTTTTCGAGGTGACCGAATAAAATTCAGGGAATCACGGTCGCGGAAAGTATTTCCAGCTACAATGGTTGGAAGAGGTTCAAGCGTGGAACGATGCAAACATTTGCTGGTTCACGTGTAGCAAAAGTTCACATCGAGCCAGCTCGACACAGGCCGTTTGCCTAGTGAAAGCGGGTATGGTAATAATTGAGTTTCAAGCTTAATCGCATGGTTTAGGGTCGGCTTGTTTGCTATGATTTAACCTAAAGTGGAGGTTGCGCCAGCCGTTAGATCACTCGGATCGCGGGCTAACTAGATTAACGAGGATAAATATAACTTAATTAGAAGGTCGCGTTGTCGTTCCAACAATTCCTGAATTTGTCGGGATCAAACATCCCGTTTACGCGTCCATCGAAATATCTCCGCCTCCTTCGTCCCTCTTCCGTTTTAAATGGCATTCAGTTCGGGCGTTTTGTGTATCGTTGGTAGAATAACTGTTGGAGGTAGCTGGATATTTAATTAAATGCAGTATTATGATAGAACAAACAAGCTTGTATGAGAAATGTTTACTGGCATACTTCAAGATACAGTGTATATTCTAAAATTAAATAGATTTATTATTTGAACAGCACAAGCAATGTTGAACATTATATGAATGAATGAATTGAACATTATATAGATTAATTAAATGTGAAATAATTATAAATTTCTATATATTAAAAATATAATTCATTTGTGTTATATTACCTGTATAACCTTTCTTTTGTGCAAAGTATAAGAACCACTAATCCCCATTAGAGGTTTAACAAATATATAAAACTAATTTACCTTCAATCCTCACAATATCACATTTTACCTAGCCTTCTTCGCACTTCAGTGCTTTCCATAATTAATTAGACCATCAAATAAACCTTTCCACTGATCAAGTGTCTCAAGGACGCGTGGAAAAAATTAAACGAGACAGGAGAAACCGAAAGATAGAAAAATTGATGACAATCCAAGTCCTTTCTTGGTTTCATCGTTTACAGAAAACAATCAAAGCGACGAAGGTGTCTCGGCGAGGTGCAAGGATCGCCGCCATTGTGTTGAACAATCATTTGCAAGATAGCAACGCGCAGCCATCAATGCCAACGACTATCCGGCGCTTGTCCTAGTCGTCCTTGCACAACTTTTCCCTTCCTTGTTTTGTATCGCTCCGATCGCCAACGCAATGTCAAAGAATGCGCTCCTTTTCTCGCCACGGCGGCCACGCCAACGACTGGGACTCTCTTTTGAAAGGTTACCTGGTGCTCCGACACAGCTTTATTTGCAAAACAGCATTCAGAACACTGTTGGAGACGTTGTCACGTATTATGCCTGAGCTTGGAATAGTCGAATTCCCAAGGTTAGGATGGTAACAGCACACCCCTAATTGTTCTTATTATTTCTAAGTTAATTTTTCTTTCTTCACTCAATACTGAATTTATTAATATATATACATCTTGGTGCAGTAAGGACGTATTGTGATTATTATTATTATTTCTTTGTCAGTTGCATTGGCACTTTAAATCTTGTTACAGTGTCTTCTATAATACATTTTTTAGAAGCCTCCCAGTTTCCTCTAAAAGAGGAAGGAAATTGCTGTGCCACAGAGGAGAGATGGATTTGAAAGGATACCAAGGAAATATGCTCCTACAGTTCTAAACTTTGATAGTCAATTGTCCTACAGTGCTAAACTTTGATAGTCAATTGTACCTATTTCTCACAGTCTTGTCGATGTTTCTTTATTAGATTTTCTGGCTACCTCAAAGGTTCGTCGTCTCAGAAATCTTAAATTCAGAGACTCTGTCTAAATGAAATTGAGTCTCAGAAATCTTAAATTCAGAGACTCTGTCTAAATGAAATTGAGTCTCTGAAATCTCGAGAGACTTGTAATTTCAACGCATTTGCTGTAGAGTTGGATCAATTTAATAAAGCCTGGAAAAAACTTAGGTTATTTTACAGGGCACAGCGTGTACAGATAGCTGAATTACAGGGTATGTGTGTGTGTGAAGGTTCAATGGAAAGCAGTTTATTAATGCAAGGAAACACTTAGTTGTACATAAAATCCTTTCTTTGGAAAGAAGCGTTGAGAAAGAAACAATTCACGCGAAGCTGAACGAAAAAATGTTTCTAACGCAACCAATGGTCCCATAACCCTACAGCATCAATCGCTTATCTCTAAGTTTATACATTGATTATTTACATACTTCCGAGTATTGAATACTTCACCGATATACAAATGGTCAAGAAATAATTTCCCTCGTGGAAGAATAAAATAATACTCACGCAACAAAGGGTTAAATCGACGTTCGCTTGGTGAAAGTACCGAACAAACAAACAGTAGTTCGAGTTCTGAGGACGGTTAGAGTGGCGCTTGCAAGTACAGCGCGCTAGCGGCGGCGGCGGAAATGGAACCCGAGGGTACGGAAACGACTGCTGAGGGAACCGTTGGCGTTGATACGACAACGTTACTTAAGGATGCCTCGTCGACTGCGATTGTAGCTGCAGGCGTAATGAAATTAACCCTGGCTGAGGCGGTTACCACGGAATTCCCAGAATTCTGTGTCGCCACGGTCGAGCTGGACGTCGAAACCTCTGCTCCTGTTTCCTCTGTTGCATCTGAAAACAAAGCTAGGTAAACGGCGGCGAGCAGTGTAAACTGTTAGCTGTTATAGAACACTTCCGCTTTTTAGTTGGAATGGATCTTTCTTAATTGCAAGGCATCAGAGTAATCGTTACTTTAACACGTTGCTCGAGTTTTCAAGAAATACGTTACAGTGTGAATAATAGAAATATTTAAACAGTTAAGTGCGTTCGAAATCTATATTCGCCATTGGTTGATTTTAACTCAGTACTCTGTGGAGGTCTTTTAGAACTAAAAGAATTAATTAATAGTTCAGTGATTTGTTGTGTTAAAACATTTCTAGCGATCGCGACCTGGTTTTAACGTTTGCCAGTATTAGGCTTTATTAGTTATAAGTAGACTGTGGATCTTTATGCATTTATAGGAAATTTAAATATGCAAGCAACTATGTACAAAATGCAAACAGTATGCAAGAATATAAAAAATATTAAACCTAAATAGAAATTTATTTTATTCTGCAAATATTATAACATGAACTTTACTTTCAATCTTTTTTATTGTAGGCACGTTCGCGAAGATTTTATTTTGCATACAGATCCGCAGTCTAGTTATAAGGCTTGTATAGATGTGAGTCGGAGTAGTCAACGTGTTTGTGCATTTTTTGTGATTTACCTCTTGCGAGACTAGGTCCATTGTTTAGTTCTCTAGGAGATTCTGCCTCTGAAGCTGCAATATTGGCAGCTGCAGTCGCTGCTGCGCTGTCAGAGTTGCTGGCAGTTGATGCACTAGCAGAACTGCTAGCAGTCGAAGCTGCATTACTAGAACTGCTGACAGGTGCAGCTGTGTTAACAGAACTGCTGGCAGACGAAGTTGCGCTAGCAGAACTGCTGGCAGAATTACTGATAGTAGAAGCTACGTTGGTAGTGGAAGTTGTGCTAGCAGAACTGCTGGCAGTTGAAGCAGCCCTAGCAGAAATGCTGGCATCCGAAGTTGCAGCTTCCAGTGGCGTAACTGTCGGGGGTATGATCGTTGGCAGCGGTGGAGCAGTGGGACCAACGATGACTATGGGCCCCGTGGAAGGACCTATAACAGCCTTCGCTGACGCCACACCGACTGTTTCGCTGATCGCCGTGTTCCTCGCTGATTCCTCTGTGTTTTCTATCGCGACTGTCGCCTTCCCCGATGCTGACGATGCAACAGCCTCGTTCTTTGTTGCAACTCGAGCTGACGCTGCGTTATCGGCACTGACGACAGAATTGTCGGAAGCAGCGACGAGCGTTACCGGGCCCGCCGAGGCTCCCTTAATGAGCACTGAATCATCGGATACACTTGCCACATCGCTCGCTTCTGAAAAGAAAGTTAATGGAAATTTTACTCCACGTTCGATAATTTCACCTTTTATACCACGTGCATTTTATAACTGTAGTTTTTGAACACTTCTAAAGCTCTATCCAAGCTCCTTAGACACTGACTTCAATTTTGCGTTCATGTATTTTAACAGTCATGCATTTTCGTATTACAGTATCTCGGCACTGAAACATTTTATATTTAAATATTTTTCAAGTACCTTGGAACAATGGTTCCTGAACTCTTTTCAAAGATCGTATTTAAATATTTTATTTAAGTTTTTATTAAGTTTTCTTGCTATTCGTGAATGAAAATTCGATAGCTTCTAAGCCACAAGTTTCTACATTCTGTGAATAACTGAAATATCCTCAAAAGGTTCTGATCTGCAATACGATTTTAATTCTCTTGAATCGCGATGTAACAATGAATCACCAACTGTGATTACCAAGACAACAATATCGATTATTTGTATATCAAGAAATATGGCTGCCCATATGATTACTTTTCATCGTTTATAAGTCTTCAAGCCACTGTCAGGCTATCACCGTTTTACGATACAACCTGTACAAACTTAGGAATGCCCTAAATCCATAGTTCGTCGACAAATGGCGGCTCCAATAAATTCTTCGGTTTACGCGCCTCGTAAAATGTATATGAGGCAATAGATTCCTATACACCGTGCTATTTCGGTTACGCAATCCAAACTAGACCCGCGAATGGAGTCATAAAGGTTCGAAATGTATTTGAAATGTTCACAGACGCCTGACCGTTTATTTCGTTGGCTATAAATCTTCCAAGAAGACGAGCTCGATGAAAGTAATTTTTAAACCTATGCTCCCGGAGAAGATATTACAGTAAACCCTGGCTTATGGGCAAAAAGTTGTATACAGATACATTTTTTCTAAATTGTGACATTTGCAGATAGTAATCGTCGAGTCACTCAGTACAGTCAACTCAGATGGATAACGAATTTTGGAAATCCGTAGAATCTTTTTACCGTATTCACTATAGTTGCAAGCTATCGTGAATACAAAAATGTAATAATTCTCTAAAGAAACATTCCAAGCTCATCCTGTGACCCTCTTCCACCCTCAACCCAGCAAAAGCTTACTTTCTATCGGCGGTAGGACGTTCTCGACTTGATTGACCGCGTTTCCTGGCAACTGGATTGTCACAGGTCCCGAAGAAGATCCTTCGACGAACGTGGTCCCCGTCACAGGACCGGCAACGACGGTTGCCAACTCTTTTTCCGCCTCCGGTGGCAACAGGCGCGTCGCAGGTGCGAGTCCATAAACTGGTGCAACGAGCAACGGCGCTGCCGATTGCCCGACGCCCACTATTTCACGATAAGGCCAGCCGCTGGCGCAAACGGATGTCAGGAGAATCGATGCCGCTAACTGCAGCTGAAAACGGATAAGGTGTGATTTATTAAGACGAGCGTCACGAGCCGCGACGCGTGTTATCTGCGCTGGTAAACGTGGGACGGGCGTCCCTGGGCCTGGCGACACAATTGTTGGAATGTTTTCTCGCAATCTCGACCATAAATATCATCTATTAACCGATGTCTGGCTGCCACCGTTGCTGGTAATCGAGCATGGTTAGTTGCTCTCGTTACTTGACGTTCGTGGGCGATGTCTTTCAACTCTAATAGCGCCTGGGTTAGGTCCTAAAGAGGTTTCAATGACACAATCTATGTCCAAAGGAAATATTGATAACGAAAGATTCGATGATGAGGTGTGACTGAGATAGAGTTTGATTGGGACTTGGATATATTGTTGTAATTGGATAGACTGTTAATTAGATTAATTGTAGGTGCTGCTTTGGGTATCACGTAGATGCACTCAAAATAAGAAGATGGTTAGTAGAACGATAGAGATCAATTTTATTTGAGCACACGATAGAGCATGCACGATTTATGGCAAGGTAGACTATCCCCACTGGTAACGCAGTGTATTCTGTCGGGTAAGACTCGGCAATGTAGAACCCTGACAAGTCTGAGGAGTTGTCAACAGAACGTTCTACATTTCCAGCAGGACCTCCTGCTTTATGGGCCCAGTTCTCTACGATACCTAGTCTTTATCGACAGGATACTCTACTACAAATATTCACTAAATATTCACTTTCACTTCTACAATCCATCGTACTCGCATGAACTTGGCCTACCACCTTTTCATTGTGATAACTAAAAAGTTGTAATCATTCATCCCAGAGCTTGAAGATCTACTTCCAATAACAATTCCTAACGCATCCTCAACCAGCAGAGCTAAGGACAGCTTTTGTAATGGCAATTATTTCGTACGGAGGGCTGCGTTATGTTAACAGTATCGGTACCAACTCGTTTGATAAGATGTCCAACCGGCACGGACAGTGATCATATGATCGTATCACGGCTATCGTCGGCAACGCTCCAGGTGATTCGAGAACAATATCCTGTACGCATCCTGTCTCATCCAATGTCGGCGGATAGAGCCACACGCACCCCGAATTTGCATAACTCGATTCCCGGCAGACGTGACGTGCATGAACCCGTCATCGCCACTGCGGGTACCTGCACGTGGACAGCATTTGGCCAAACGTTTTGCGACCTGAGCCGAAGGAGGAAGTCAGATGCTCATTTAGAAGCAACTAAAAAGTAGGGATGACACGACGTTACGTGGAATATTGCACATAACTTCCAAACAAATTTTGTTTATATGTATTAGGGCTAGAAATTAATTATGTACCTTTATGGTGTTTCGCCCATTCATTTGAAAAGAGAGCCATTCAAATTTTAATCTTTCCTTAATTATACAAGAGAATATATACGTATGTTTTGTTATTGTCACGATTTGCATGTTAACGTAACATAATGGCAAGTGAATATTTACAATTTTCACATAAATTATTGAATTTAAAGACACATCATTAATTCTCATGCATAAAAAGTTTCATGTACATTTATAATCTGTTAGAAGAATGACATTAGGGGAGATTGAATGACTAATAAATTTCGTATATAGTAGATAGTAATACCCATCAGGTTGAGACTTAGGTTATCTACTTATTATTAGATGGATTGCGATGGAGACTAGTTTGAAGACTTCTACTTAGAGTTATAAATATACGACTGTAAAGGCACAGAATTAATTTCTACCCCTACTATATACGTATAAATAAAATCTCAAACAAAAGTTTCTATCATGCTAACTGTGAAAAAATCATGAAAATTGCTTCGAAACAGACGAAAATAAAAGAGCAACCCCCTCAGGGTGTCAGCGAAAAGAAATATTCCAAGTACCAGCGATCTTTGTTTCCCGCCACCCAGAAAGCGGGCCTAAGTAAAATCGATGCATTACTCGTCTTAATTAAAGTTACAGAACGTCGCCATATGTTTCAATTATCCGCGTAGCCACCGAACAGCGTGGGTGCGCCATATATCAGGGAACATTGGTCAGAGATAGGGAGCCGTTCATATTTCACGTGGGACACGAAAGTGCATTACGAGCCAACAGATTAAAGTTTTCTCATCAGGAACTGAGCGCGGATTCCCTTTTCGTAACAATCTTCCCTTCGACCCGCTCGATGAGCCGCGATAAAGTTTCCCCGCTTACCAGAAGCTTCATGGCTCCTTGTCTGCGACGTCCTCTCCTATTATATTTTCCACGGCGCTTCCTCTACGCCCGTTCGTGCATTCGCGACTGTTACTGATCCGTCGCGAACCGGATTGAACCGTTATATAGTCCATTACGTGTAACCTCCAGTGATGAGTAAGGAAAAAAGGTCACCGCCACCCCGTTTCCACGATCGGGACTCGGTCTCCCAGGAATTCCACGTGCTGGAAAACAGAACAAAGACTGACCACGCGGGACACGCCGCGGAGAAACGATCATGTGGACGGAGCTGGGGGACAGCATGGTCGGAGTGATCGATAAGCGACATACCTTCTCGATTGTCCTTCGTCTGAATAATCGAGGATACAGCGGAACTAACGCGCCAGACGAATTGACCTGTGCACTTTGAATTTTTTTTTTAACTTGTTAACCGCGGTATTTTGTTATAAAAGATCTTCACGGAGTGCGGAGTTAAAATCAAGCAATGACGAGTGTACATGTCGAGCGTAGGGCAAATGTTCACATTATGAATTTGACGAAATCGAGGAAGGATTACATTTTTATTTAACAAAAATATTAACAATTCGTTTCTGAATATTTTATTCTTACTGAAAGCTTGAAAATTGTCAATATATAATAAAATACATAAATTAGAAAAATTGAAGAAAGAAAATAATTCAGAAAATCTCAATTTATTTAGGTGTGATATTTTTTGAAGCACGGTACCACATAAATTGCCACTTTGCAGGTCGTACACCAATATCTTGACTCCTTACGTTTTCCGTTTTTTAAACAGACTGCACATCTTCGGAGGGAATTTGCTTTCGATAGAGCATCTATATAAAATACATAGCAATTGAATATAATATAAAGGTAATATAAGGGAAACATACCACCAAATAATATTCTTATTACATTTTATATATTTATTGATTATATATTTTATATCAATGGTAATTTTTTATTTTACACGACGAGTTATTATACACGCCGAAACACTTAACTGGTTAACATTGCGAGACTGATCCTTAATAGCTTGTCCCATAATTGACAAACACTTAAAGATGTTCCACATATTAATTTAAACAGCAGAACAGTAAGTGACATGAACTTGTGAAGTGCCGTAATATGTGAAGATATAAATGAAAGAAGTTTCAGCTCTGAACTGCAATATCCCAACTTTCAAAATGCTTAACGGCACAGAGTGCTCAAAGTGGTGTTACCATTCATATTTCACAATCCCAAAGTTAGGACATTCTACATCGCCTCATATCAAGGGATGAGAAGATTCTACTTCAAAAACTTAGTAAACTTGATATTGACGTTTTACTAGGTTGTAATATTTGAATGGCAAATTTCTTCTGTGTTTTACTGTGGATAATTGGAAGTTTCTCATGAAGAAATAAGGGAAAGACGGTCAGCAATTGTAAAAAGTCCTTTTCTTGGACGTGAACTCCTCTTCATTTAAAGAACTACGTGTCTAAATGGGATTATAAAGTACTTGCCAGTTCCTATGTAACGTGTTTCTGGATCTCTGGACGTCTAGAGGCTTGGCAGTCTTCATTCTCCATCAGTCCATATCTTTTAAGGTGTACAAGGAGGTCTACAAAAATTCCTTGTCTTGAAGAGCTTGTCTATCATCCCATTTCCGCTACTGTAGATTTATATCTCCATTGCCATTGGCAGCAATACTGAATGTTTTCCTGAAGAAGCGAGCCGGTACTTTTCACCCTTATTATTCAATCTTAGTATGATTAATCAGCTAATTAGCAAGTCCTCGAGCAACGATTGCATACATAGGAGAATCTTGCGAGCAATGTACTCGAAAATGGAATTGCTTCCCTCAATCGAAGCTAAGCACTTGCCACTTAACTTCGAGGCAAGCCCCGACAGAGAGAATCCGAGAATCACAGTTTGTATGTTCATTGTTCAGATAATCGATAAGCGGGGAATCAATTTCCGTATAATCGGTCTCTGGATCATCAATCTCCGGATAATCGACGTCCCATTGTACTTGGTAATCTTGGGTACTTGGTCATCATGGGGTGATTTATAGATAGCTGCCATTTTCGACTATTGAGTCTACGGGGGAGGCAGCTCTACCGATGTATTATAGTAGCGCACTAGCAAACTTCTCCACAAGTATGATAATTTGATGAGATTGCTTCTTTCTGAAATAAGTTTAGAGCAACCTCAGGAAGAAAGCCGATATTTCAATTAAAATTCTTGAAAGCTCTAGCAGAGAAAACAGGACAACAGAGTTTCCGAGGATGATCTCCTTCGACATCAAGGAATGTCTTTGCAACTCTCGTAGCCTTCCAAGGTGAATTCATAATCTTTTCCTCTGAACAAAGCAGAGACTCCTAAGCAAAGATCTTGAAAGCTCAGGCGTAAGTCACAAGACGATAAAGAGGTTTGGAAGATGAGCACCTTCGACATCAAGGAATGTCTTTGCAACTCTCGTAGCCTTCCAAGGTGAATTCAAAATCTTCTCACCTGAACAAAACAGATACTCCTAGACAAAGATCTTGAAAGCTCAGGCGCAAGTCACAAGACGGCAAAAAGAGCTTCGGAAGATGAGCTCGTTCAATATCAATGAGTGTTTCTCCAACTGTCACAGCTGTCCAGGATAAACCAAGAAGTCTCCCAAACAAACCTCCCAGTCTAGAACCTTGGTAACTGAAAGTTCAAATGATCTCCTCGAGCAGCTGGCGAGCCGGTATCAACGGTATTATTCACCGTGTTCGATAGAATAAATAATATTCGCTGGAAAAATGCCCAATTGGGGGTAAAAAAATGGGTGAATTGGAGGCGCGCTTGGACACGGGCAATTGCCCGGCTATGTCGTAACGCTCAACTGGATTTTCAAGGCAGCGTTTCCTGCCTTCCTGTATCGATGCATTTTAGCAATCGATCGCCGCGCGTATTCAAGGCCGTCTCACGCAGAATTGAAAGTCGATTTCGCAACACAACTAGCGGATTGCATCTTATAGTCGAACCCTAAATTGTGACGACTGGTCGATTCTTTTTCCCCTCCTGGTTAGCGGTCGACGGCTGACAGACCCGACACAACGACCGGGGATGGGAAAAAATACACACGGGCGGCTAGGTATGCAAATTCCGGTGACCCCGTTTCGCTAACTATGAAAACTTCTCTGCAACTATCGCGCGGAGTTGCGTGCGCCAGGCAGCGCCATCGTGATTTCTGATGCAACACAGCCACTGTGCGAGTTCATCGTTTCAGATCGCTGTCTTGATTTACGGATTCGAGTTCCCCCTCCTCACACCCCCGACCACGCCCGCTCAACGACAACGCTGACCGGCCCTGGACACGAGTCCTGCACGGGGTGGATGACGTACGGCGTCGACAGCGGCTACTTGGGTAGGAAAACAAGAGTATAAAAGACTAAGTTGAACCTAGGATTTTCATCAGTCGCTTGCACACTCCAGTTCGAAGAAGCTCAAGCAACCCAACCCAACTCACTCAAAATGAAATTCTTGGTAAGAACCGTCCTACTTGGGTAATCGTAACTCGGTGGAACCAAGTTGGTTCATCTGCCTGTGAAACAGGTGACAAATTGAGATTTCGATGGCCTTTCGAGCATTAGCTGGAAAAGTCTCTTATTTATATCGAGATTCTTCAGATCTCGATCTTCGCCTTTGTCCGATACGATGCACTTTGTGATCGAGATACTCTATTTGAGATCTTCCTTAAAACAGCAGTACGGGTACTGCGAGATCCTTAAATATTTTCTGAAGAGAACAGAAAGCTACAGAAAAATAAAACGCACTTTTATAAAGCTAGCAATTGAAATTTGAATACTTCCTTTAAGTAATTTCTTGGATTAATTTGCAAATAAGCATCGTGATATACAAAAATTGTCTGTTTAGTCAATCTCTATACAGTCTTTCTCAAGTGGTATTTAGACAAGTACATTAGCAGTATTTCAACATTGGGGAAGGAAGATAATCCCTTATTTGTCAGAAGGGTGTATTTTATGGTTGAGCCTAAATTGACCAAACTGCCTCAAATTAGTACAATGTGGACCCTTTGACTAGGGGAGACTTCTAGGTTGAAGCCCCTAAAGCCTATGTCTTAATCTGCTCCTAAGAACTAATGAGAGGGGAAAAGAGTAATCGTTTATTCTTTTTTTATTCTTGGCAAGGGTTTATCTTGGAGGAATCTCTTTTAGAAATACTCGTAACATGGTGATTTATTCTTTTCCAGGTGATCCTTTTCGCTATCGTCGCCGTTGTTGCGGCTTTCCCCGAACAAGAGCGTGAACGCCGTGGAATTCTTGCGGGTCCCGCTCTAGGATGGGCTGCTGGCCCCAAAGTCGCTGTGGCCGCTGCCCCCATCGCCATTGCTACTGCCCCTAAGCTCCTCGCGGCGCGTAAGTAGTCAAGATTGCTTAGAATTAATCAAGGAATTTTATATTTGTTTTATCTCATCGAGCAAACTCTGTGAACATAATAATGTTATAATCCGTGGTCTCTTCAAGGATTCACTTTATTAAAATTTGTTGTAATTGTGCTTGGGAAATCCTTGTAATAAATTTAACGCTTGGAAGAACTATGTAAAGGGATGGTTTCATTTTGGACAATCAGGAAATCCCTATAGTTATTACTCTGGGATTAATTTAAACCCTTATTAAAGGCGGAATTCATTAAGGAATTAAAATTAATTCGTATTTATAAGAGAATCAACTTTAATTATTTATTAATACGATACTCTCACCGCGAAGTTGAGGGATTCTCTTCGAATATAAATTATATTTAAAAATTCGATGTAAAGAAGGATGTAGATTTGATATAAAAAAATATGTTATACTTTTTCCAAGAAGTAATATCGTTTTACTACAGAGTTTGGATGTGGAATTTGCTTTCTCGTGTTTAAAAATGAATTTTATTTTGTGCAGCAGCTGTAGCCGTTGCCGCCCCCGCCCTCGCTCCCGCGTGGGGAGGTCTCAAAGCATGGTAAACGTTATTAAAACCCTGGCGTAACTGGACCTGAAGTATTACGAGGAAGCTTAACGATGAGAGAACTCTCATTGAGCTAAATTCGAATTCGGCGACTGACGGCATCCACCAACCCCCTTTAGGCCGCAATTCCG